GTTGATCTGGGGTGGGGTTGATCTGGGGGTAGGTGATCTAGGGGTTGGTGTCTGGGGTGTAGGTTGATCTGAGGGGTAGGTTGATCAGGGTGTAGGGTTGATCTAGGGGTGAGGTTGATCTAGGTTTGGGGTTGATCTAGGGGTAGGGTTGATCTAGGGTAGGTTGATCTAGGGGTAGGTTGATCTGGGAGGGGAAGGTTGATCTAGGGTGTAGGGTTGATCTGGGGGTGGGTCAAGGTTTAGGTTGATCTAGGGGTAGGTCTGGGGTAGGTTGGTCTGGGGTTTAGTTTGATCTGGGGTAGGTTGATCTGGTAGGTTGATCTAGGGTTTGGGTCTGGGGTGTGGGGTTGATCTGGGGGTAGGGGTTGATCTGGGGGTTGGGTTGATCTGGGGTAGGTTGATCTAGGGGTAGGTTGATCTAGGGTTTAGGTTGATCTAGGGGTAGTTGATCTAGGGTGTAGGTTGATCTAGGGGTAGGTTGATCTAGGGTTTAGGGTTGATCTAGGGGTAGGGTCTGGGGTTTAGGTTGATCTGGGGTTTGGGTTGATCTAGGTGGGTTGATCTAGAGGTGTAGGGGTGATCTGGGGTGTGGGTTGATCTGGGGTTTGAGGTTGATCTGGGGTTTGGGTTGATCTAGGGGTAGGTTGATCTGGGGGTGGGTTGATCTGGGGGTAGGTTGACTGGGGTAGGTTGTTCTGGGTGTAGGTTGATCTGGGGTGTGGGGTTGATCTGGGTTTAGGTTGATCTGGGGGTAGGTTGATCTGGGGTGTAGGTTGATCTGGGGTGTAGGTTGATCTGGGTTGGGTTGATCTAGGGGGTAGGTTGATCTGGGGTAGGTTGATCTAGGGGTAGGGTTGATCTAGGGGTGGGTTGATTAGGGTTTGGGTTGATCTAGGGGGTGGGTTGATCTGGGGTGGGTGGTCTAGGGGTAGGTTGATCTAGGGTTTAGGTTGATCTGGGGTTGGGGTTGATCTGGGGTGGGGTTGATCTGGGGGTAGGTTGATCTGGGGTGTGGGGTCTGGGGAAGGTTGATCTAGGGTGTAGGGTTGATCTGGGGGTAGGTTGATCTAGGGTTTAGGTTGATCTGGGGTAGGTTGATCTAGGGTAGGTTGATCTAGGGTGTAGGTTGATCTGGGGTTTAGGTTGATCTGGGGTTGGGTTGATCTAGGGGTAGGGGTTGATCTGGGTTTAGGTTGATCTGGGGGTAGGTTGATCTGGGGGTAGGTTGATCTGGGGTAGGTTGATCTAGGGTAGGTTGATCTAGGGTTTGGGTTGATCTAGGGGTAGGTTGATCTGGGGTAGGTTGGTCTAGGGTGTAGGTTGATCTGGGGTGGGTTGATCTGGGTGTGGGGTTGATCTGGGGTAGGTTGATCTAGGGTTTGGGTTGATCTAGGGTGGGGTTGTCTAGGGGAGGTTGATCTAGGGGTAGGTTGATCTGGGGTAGGTTGACTTAGGGGTTGAGGTTGATCTAGGGGTAGGTTGATCTAGGGGTAGGTTGATCTAGGGGTGGGTTGATCTGGGGTTTAGGTTGATCTAGGGTTTAGGTTGATCTAGGGTGGGTTGATCTAGGGTGTAGGTTGATCTAGGGGTAGGTTGATCTAGGGTTTAGGTTGATCTAGGGGTAGGTTGATAGGTTGATCTGGGTGTAGGTTGATCTTGGGGTAGGTTGATCTAGGGTGTGGGTTGATCTGGGGTTTGGTTGATCTAGGGTTTAGGTTGATCTGGGGGTGGGTTGATCTGGGGTGTGGGTTGATCTGGGGGTGGGTTGATCTGGGGTTGGGGATCTAGGGTAGGTTGATCTGGGTGTGGGTTGATCTGGGGGTGTAGGTTGATCTAGGGGTTTAGGTTGATCTAGGGGTAGGTTGATCTAGGGGTAGGTTGATCTAGGGGTAGGTTGATCTAGGGGTAGGTTGATCTAGGGTTTAGGTTGATCTAGGGTGGTAGGTTGATCTGGGGTTGGGTTGATCTGGGGGTAGGTTGATCTAGGGGTTTAGGTTGATCTGGGTAGGTTGATCTGGGGTTTGGGTGATCTGGGGATGGGTTGTCTAGGGTGTAGGTTGATCTGGGGTGTGGGGTTGATCTGGGGTTTGGTTGAGTAGGGTTGGGGTTGATCTGGGGTGGGTTGTCTGGGGTGGGTGATCTGGGGGTAGGTTGATCTGGGGTTTAGGTTGATCTAGGGGTAGGTTGATCTGGGGGGTAGGTTGATCTGAGGGGGTAGGTTGATCTAGGGTAGGTTGGTCTAGGTGGGGTTGATCTAGGGAAGGTTGATCTAGGTGTAGGTTGATCTAGGGGTAGGTTGATCTAGGGTTGGGTTGATCTAGGGGTAGGTTGATCTAGGGGTAGGTTGATCTGGGGTGGTGGGTTGATCTGGGTGGGTAGGTTGATCTAGGGTGTGGGTTGATCTAGGGGGTAGGTTGATCTAGGGTTTAGGTTGATCTGGGGGTAGGTTGATCTAGGGGTAGGTTGATCTAGGGGTAGGTTGATCTGGGGTTTGGGGTTGTCTTGGGGTAGGTTGATCTAGGGGTAGGTTGATCTAGGGTTTGGGTGGATCTGGGGTGTAGGTTGATCTAGGGGTAGGTTGATCTGGGGGTAGGTTGATCTGGGGGTAGGTTGATCTAGGGGGTAGGTTGATCTAGGGGGTGTTAGGTTGACTTAGGGTTTAGGTTGATCTAGGGGTGGGTTGATCTGGGGTAGGTTGATCTAGGGTAGGTTGATCTAGGGTTTAGGTTGATCTGGGGTTTAGGTTGATCTAGGGGTAGGTTGATCTAGGGGTAGGTTGATCTAGGGTTGTAGGTTGATCTGGGGTGGGTTGATCTAGGGGTAGGTTGATCTAGGGGTAGGTTGATCTAGGGTTTAGGGGTTGATCTGGGGTAGGTTGATCTAGGTGGTAGGTTGATCTGGGGTAGGTTGATCTAGGGTTTGGGGAGTCTGGGGGTAGGTTGATCTGGGGTTTGGTTGATCTAGGGGTAGGTTGATGGGTGTCTAGGGGTATATTTGATCTGGGGTAGGTTGATCTGGGGTGTAGGTTGATCTAGGGTTTGGGTTGATCTAGGGGTGGGGTTGATCTAGGGGTGGGGTTGATCTGGGGTGTAGGTTGATCTGGGGGTAGGTTGATCTGGGGGTAGGGTTGATCTGGGTGTGGGGTTGATCTGGGGGTGGTCTTGGGTTTGGGTTGATCTGGGGTAGGTTGATCTAGGGTGTGGGTTGATCTGGGGTGTGGTTGATCTGGGGTTTAGGTTGATTCTGGGGTAGGTTGATCTAGGGTAGGTTGATCTAGGGTGTAGGTTGATCTGGGTAGGTTGATCTGGGGTTTAGGGTTGATCTAGGATGGGGTTGATCTAGGGTGGGGTTGATCTGGGGTGTAGGTTGATCTAGGGTTTAGGTTGATCTAGGGGTAGGTTGATCTGGGGTGGGTTGATCTGGGGTTTGGGTTGATCTAGGGTTTAGGTTGATCTAGGGGTAGGTTGATCTGGGGTAGGTTGATCTGGGGGTAGGTTGATCTGGGGTTTGGGTTGATCTAGGTAGGGGTGTCTAGGGGTAGGTTGATCTAGGGGTAGGTTGATCTAGGGTTTAGGTTGATCTGGGGTTTAGGTTGATCTAGGGGTAGGTTGATCTGGGGTAGGTTGATCTGGGGTAGGTTGATCTGGGGTTTGGGTTGATCTAGGGTAGGTTGATCTAGGGGTAGGTTGATCTAGGGGTATGGGTTGATCTAGGGGTAGGTTGATCTGGGGGTAGGTTGATCTAGGGTTTAGGTTGATCTAGGGTTTGGGTTGATCTAGGGTGTGGGTTGATCTAGGGTGTGGGTTGATCTGGGGATTAGGTTGATCTAGGGTAGGTTGATCTGGGGGTGGGTTGATCTAGGGTGTGGGTTGATCTGGGGTTTGGGGTTGATCTAGGGTTTGGGGTGTGGTTGATCTAGGTGGGTTGGGGTAGGTTGATCTAGGGGTAGGTTGATCTAGGGTTTAGGTTGATCTGGGGTAGGTTGATCGGTGGGTTGATCTGGGTGTGGGTTGATCTAGGATGTGGGGTTGATCTGGGGTGTAGGTTGATCTAGGGTTTAGGTTGATCTAGGGTGTAGGTTGATCTGGGGTGGGTGATCTGGGGGTAGGTTGATCTAGGGTGTGGGTTGATCTGGGGTGTAGGTTGTGAGGGGTCTGGGGTGGGTTGATCTAGGGTTTAGGTTGATCTAGGGGTAGGTTGATCTAGGGGTAGGTTGATCTAGGGAGTGAGGGGTTGATCTAGGGTTTGGGGTTGATCTGGGGGTAGGTTGATCTAGGGTTGGGTTGATCTAGGGGTTTATGGTCTGGGGGTGGGTTGATCTGGGGTGTAGGTTGATCTGGGGGTGGGTTGATCTGGGGTTTGGGTTGACTAGGGTTGAGGTTGATCTGGGGTTTAGGTTGATCTGGGGTTTAGGTTGATCTGGGGGTGGGTTGATCTGAGGTGTGGGTTGATCTGGGGTGTAGGTTGATCTGGGGTTTGGGTTGATCTGGGGTTTGGGTTGATCTGGGGTGGGTTGATCTGGGGTGGGTTGATCTGGGGTTAGGTTGATCTGGGGTAGGTTGATCTAGGGTTGTGGACTGGGGGTGGGTTGATCTGGGGTGTAGGTTGATCTAGGGGGTAGGTTGATCTGGGTGTAGGTTGATCTGGGGTTTAGGTTGATCTGGGGATGGGTTGATCTAGGGGTGTGGTTGATCTGGGGTGTAGGTTGATCTGGGGGTTGGGTTGATCTGGGGGTTGGGTTGGTTGGTGTAGGTTGATCTGGGGTGTTGGGTTGATCTGGGAGGTTGATCTGGGGTGGGTTGATCTGGGGTTTAGGTTGGTCAGGGGGTGGGTTGATCTGGGGTTGGGTTGATCTGGTGGGTTGATCTGGAGTTCTGGGGTGGGTTGATCTGGGGTTGTGGGTTGATCTGGGGGTAGGTTGATCAGGGTGGAGGTTGATCTGGGGTTTGGGTTGATCTGGGGTTTGGGTTGATCTGGGGGTGGGTTGATCTGGGGGTGGGTTATTGGGGGTGAGTTTGATCTGGGGTTTGGGTTGATCTGGGGTTGGATCTGGGGTGGGTTGATCTGGGGTTTGGGTTGATCTGGGGTTTGGGTTGATCTGGGGTAGGTTGATCTTGGGGTGGGTTGATCTGGGGTGGGTTGATCTGGGGTTTGGGTTGATCTGGGGTTGGGATCTGGGGTAGGTTGATCTGGGGTTGTGAGTTGATCTGGGGGTGGGTTGATCTGGGGTTGGGGTTGATCTGGGGGTGGGTTGATCTGGGGTTTGGGTTGTTGTTGAGGTTGATCTGGGGGTAGGTTGGGGGTGGGGTTGATCTGAGGTTGGGTTGACTTGGGGTTTAGGTTGATCTGGGGTAGGTTGATCTGGGGGTAGGTTGATCTGGGGTGGGTTGATCTAGGGTTTGGGTTGATCTGGGGTTTGGGTTGTGATCTGGGGTAGGTTGATCTAGGTGTAGGTTGATCTGGGGTTTGGGTTGATCTGGGGTTTGGGTTGATCTGGGGGTAGGTTGATAGGTTGATCTAGGGTGTAGGTTGATCTTGGGGTAGGTTGATCTAGGGTGTAGGTTGATCTGGGTTTGGGTTGATCTGGGGTTTGGTTTATCTGGGGTGGGTTGATCTAGGGTGTAGGTTGATCTGGGGGGTAGGTTGATCTGGGGTTTAGGTTGATCTGAGGGTAGGTTGATCTGGGGTTGTAGGTTGGGGTTGTGGGTTGATCAGGGTTTGGGTTGATCTGGGGTGGGTTGATCTGGGGTAGGTTGTTGATCTAGGGTGGGTTGATCTAGGGTTGGGTTGATCTGGGTGGTAGGTTGATCTGGGGTTTAGGTTGATCTGGGGTAGGTTGATCTGGGGTTTAGGTTGATCTGGGGGTAGGTTGATCTGGGGTTTAGGTTGATCTGGGGTGGGTTGATCTGGGGTGTGGGTTGATCTGGGGTGTGGGTTGATCTGGGGGTGTGGGTTGATCTAGGGTTTAGGTTGATCTAGGGTTTAGGTTGATCTAGGGTAGGTTGATCTGGGGGTAGGTTGATCTGGGGGTAGGTTGATCTGGGGTTTAAGTTTGATCTGGGGTGGGTTGATCTGGGGGGTAGGTTGATCTAGGGTTTGGGTTGATCTAGGGGTAGGTTGATTGGGGTGTAGGTTGATCTGGGGTAGGTTGATCTAGGTGTGGGTTGATCTAGGGGTAGGTTGATCTGGGGTTTAGGTTGATCTGGGGTGGGTTGATCTGGGGGTAGGTTGATCTGGGGGTAGGTTGATCTGGGTGGGGAGGTTGATCGGTGTAGGTTGATCTGGGGGTAGGTTGATCTGGGGTTTGGGTTGATCTGGGGGTAGGTTGATCTGGGGTTGGGTTGATCTGGGGTTGAGGTTGATCTGGGGTTTGGGTTGATCTGGGGGTGGGTTGATCTGGGTAGGTTGATCTAGGGGTTTGGGTTGATCTAGGGTGTAGGTTGATCTAGGGGTAGGTTGATCTGGGGGTAGGTTGATCTGGGGGTAGGTTGATCTGAGGTTGGGTTGATCTGGGGTTTAGTTGGTTGATCTGGGGTTGGTTGATCTAGGGTTGTAGGTTGATCTAGGGGTAGGTTGATCTAGGGTTTAGGTTGATCTGGGGGTAGGTTGATCTAGGTTTGGAGTCTGGGTTTAGGTTGATCTGGGGGTAGGTTGATCTGGGTGTGGGTTGATCTGGGGTGTAGGTTGATCTGGGGTTTGGGTTGATCTGGGGTTTAGGTTGATCTGGGGGGTAGGTTGATCTGGGGGTAGGTTGATCTGGGGTAGGTGGACTGGGGGTAGGTTGATCTAGGGTGTGGGTTGATCTAGGTTAGGTTGATCTGGGGTTTAGGTTGATCTAGGGATGGTTGGTGGTCTGGGGTGTGGGTTGATCTAGGGTGTAGGTTGATCTGGGTTAGGTTGATCTAGGGGTAGGTTGATCTGGGGGTAGGTTGATCTGGGGTGGGTTGATCTAGGGTGTTGGGTTGATCTGGGGTTTAGGTTGATCTAGGTTGAGGTTGATCTAGGGGTAGGTTGATCTAGGGGTAGGTTGATCTAGGGTTTGGGTTGATCTAGGGGTAGGTTGATCTGGGGGTGGTGATCTGGGGGTAGGTTGATCTAGGGTGTAGGTTGATCTGGGGTAGAGGTTGATCAGTGTGGGTTGATCTAGGGGTATGAGGGTCTGGGGTTTAGGTTGATCTAGGTAGGTTGATCTGGGGGTGGGTTGATCTAGGGTGGGTTGATCTCTGGGGTTTGGGATCTGGGGTGGGTTGATCTGGGGTTTGGGATCTAGGGGTTTAGGGTGATCTGGGGTTTGGGGTTGATCTGAGGTTTAGGTTGATCTGGGGTAGGTTGATCTGGGGTGTGGGTTGATCTGGGGTTTGGGGTTGATCTGGGGCCAGGGTTGATCTGGGGTGTGGGTTGATCTGGGGTTTGGGTTGATCTGGGGTTTAGGTGGGCTCTGGGGGCCGGGTTGATCAGGGTGTGGGACAGTCTGGGGTGGGGTGATGGGTTTAGGTTGATTTGGGGTTTGGGGTTGATCTGGGGGTGGGTTGATATGGGTTGGGTTGATATAGGGGTTTGGGTTGGTCAGGGGGCCAGGTTGATCTGGGGTGTGTGGGTTGATCTGGGGTTTGGGTCTGGGGTGGGTCTGGGGTGGGGTCTGGGGTTGGGGTATCTGGGGTTTGGGTTGATCTGGGGTAGGTTGATCTGGGGTTTGGGTTGATCTGGGGGGTAGGTTGATCTGGGGTTTTGGGTTGGTCTGGGGTGTGAGATGATCTGGGGTGTGGGTTCATCTGAGGGGATGGGGATTTGTTGGGGTGGTTGATCTGAGGTAGGTTGATCGGGGGATGGGTTGATCTGGGGTTTGGGTGATCTGGGGTTTGGGGTTGATCTGGGGTTTGGGTTGATCTGGGGTGTGGGTTGGTCTGGGGTAGGGTTGGTCTGGGGTTGTGGGACCCGTCTGCAGGGGGTTGGGATTGATCTGGGGTTTGGGTTTGGTCTGGGGTCTGGGGTTTGGGTCTGGGGGTGGGATCTTAGGGTTTTGGGGTTGATCTGGGGTTGATCTGGGGCCAGGTTGATCTGGGGGTGGGATTGTCTACGGTTTATGTTGTCTGGGGGTAGGTTGATCGAGATGTGGGGTTGATCTGGGGTGGGGTTGATCTGAGGGGTAGGTTGATCTGGGTTTGGTTGATCTGGGGGTGGGTTGATCTCAGGGGTGTGGGGTTGATCTGGGGTTTGGGTTGGGTCTGGTGTGGGGTTGATTAGGGGAGCTATGGGTTGATCTGGGGTTTGGATGATCTGGGGTTTTGGTTGATCTGCAGGTGCAGGGTTGATCTGGGGATTTGGTTGATCTGGGGTTTGGGGTTGGTCTGGGGTTTGGGTCTGGGGTTTGGGACGGGTTGATCTGGGGTTGGGATTGATCTGGGGGCCCAGGTTGATCTAGGGTGTTGGGTTGATCTGGGGTTTAGGTTGATCTGGGGTAGGTTGGGGGTAGGTTGATCTGGGGTGTAGGTTGATCTAGGGTTTAGGTTGATCTAGGGTGTAGGTTGATCTAGGGGTAGGTTGATCATCCGGTGGGTCAGGCTGGCCGGTCAGGGGTGGTGGAGTCAGCCTGCGCCACTGCTACTGGACGCCTAACCATACCCAGATCAACGCAACCCCAGATCAACACCCTCTGAATCGGCTTACCCCCAGATCAACACTAGTCAACTGAACCTGGTCGGCCTGGGCCACCAGATCGGCACTGCCTGCTAGCGGCCTGCCCCCAGATCAACCTATAGATAGCTGCCTGGATCGGCTTCGACCCTGCCTACCCCTAGATCGGCCTGCCTGAATCAGCACCCCAAGCCTGCCCTGGATCGACTTGCCCTGGATCGGCCTAGGCCACAAGTTGGCCTGCCCTAGTCAGCCTGGCCTGGATCGGCCTAAGCCTGATCAACCTGCCCTGGATCAGCCTGCCCTGGATCAGCCTGCCCAGTCAGCCTAGGCCTAGATCGGCCACTGCCTGGTCAGCCTGCCCTAGATCAGCCTGAGCCTAGATCGCCTGCGCCTGGATCAGCCTGCACCTGGATCAGCCACCCTGGATCAGCCTGCCCTGGATCAGCCTGACCCTGAATCAGCCTGCACCTGGATCAGCCTGCCCCTGGATCAGCCTGCCTCTGGATCAGCCCAAGGAGCCCTAGATCGACCTAAGGCCTGGTCAGCCTGCCCTGAATCAGCCTGCCCCTGGATCAGCACCCTAGTTAACCTGCCCTAGATCAGCCTAAAGCCTAGATCAGCCTACCCTAGATCAGCCTACTAGATCAGCCTACCCCAGATCAGCCTACCCCTAGATGCACACTAGTCAGCCTAAACCTAGTCAGCCTACCCTAGATCAGCCTGCACCCTAGATCAGCCTGCCCCTATCAGCCACACCCTAGATCAGCCTGCCCCTGGGTCAGCCCTGCCCTGATCAGCCTACCTAGATCAGCCTAAACCTAGATCAGCCTACCCCACTAGATCAACCTACACCTAGATCAGCCTACCCTAGATCAGCCTGCACCCAGATCCAGCTACCCTAGATCAGCCTACCCCTAGATCAACTACCCTAGATCAGCCTGCCCTAGATCAGCTGCCTAGATCAACCTGCCCTAGATCAACCAGCCCCTAGATCAGCCTGCCTCCTAGATCAGCCTGAACCCTGGATCAGCCTGCCCTGATCGCCTGCCCTAGATCAGCACAAGCCCTAGTCAGCCTGCACTAGATCAGCCTGCACCCTAGATCAGCCTACATATCCGTCAGCCTGCCCTAGATCAGCCTGCCTTGAGTCAGCCTGCCTAGATCAGCATCAGCTACCCCTGGATCAGCCTAAGCCCTGATCCAGAGCTACCCCCTGAGTCAGCCTGCACACTTAGATCAGCCTGCCCTAGATCAGCTAAGCCTAGATCAGCCTAAGCCTAGATCCTCCTGCCCTTGATCAGCCTGCCTAGATCAGCCTGCCCTAGATCAGCCTGCCTAGATCAGCCTAGAGCCCCTGGATCCAGCCTGCCTAAATCAGCCTGCCCTATCAGCCTGCCTAGATCAGCCACACCCTTGGATCAGCCTGCACCCTAGATCAGCCTATCCTAGATCAGCCTGCCCAGATCAGCCTACCCTAGATCAGCCTACCCTAGATCAGCCTGCTCCTGAGTCAGCCTGCCTGAATCGCCTAGGCCTAGATCCTTCAAGCCTGTCAACCCTGCACCCCTAGATCAGCCTGCATGGTCAGCCCCTGCCCCTGGATCAGCACAAGCCTAGATCAGCCTAGGCCTCTAGTCAGCCTGCCTGGGTCAGCCTAAGCCTGGATCAGCACCTGCCCAGATCCTTCAGCACAGATCAGCCTACCCCTGAATCAGCCTAAAGCCTAGATCAGCCTGCTCCTGGATCAGCCTGCTAGATCAGCCTAAACCCTGGATAACCTGCCCTGAATCAACCTACCCTAGATCAGCCTGCCTAGATCGCCCTGAAGCCACAGAGATCAGCCTACCTAGATCAGCCTGCCTAGATCAACCTCCCTAGATCAACCTGCACCTAGTCAGCCTGCCCTAGATCAACCTGCCTAGATCGGCCTAGATCCAGCTTACCCCACCATCAGCCTACACCTAGATCAACCTGCACCTGGATCAGCCTACACCCTAGATCAACCTGCCCTAGATCCTTGTACCCCTAGATCAGCCTCCCCTAGATCAACCTACCCCTAGTCAGCCTGCCCCTAATCAGCCTACACCCTGAATCAGCTACCCTAGATCAGCCTAAACCTAGATCGCCTACACCTAGATCGCTACACCCTGAATCCAGCCTCCTAGATCAGCCTGCCTAGATCAGCCTGCCCTAGATCAGCCTGCACCTAGATCCTTCACTGATCAGCCTACCCTAGATCAGCCTACACCTAAGATCAACCTGCCCTAGTCAACCTGCCCTAGATCAGCCTACTCCCTAGATCAACCTGCCCCTAGATCAGCCTGCTCCTAGATCAGCCCTAAACCCTAGATCAGCCTACTAGATCAGCCTACCCTTGTCAACCTGCCCTAGATCAGCCTACACCTAGATCAGCCTAAACCTAGATCAGCCTGCCCTAGATCAGCCTGCCCTAGATCAACCTGCCCTAGATCAGCCTGCCCTAGATCAGCCTAAGCCTAGATCAGCCTGCCCCCTGGTCAGCCTGCCCTGGATCAGCCTACCCTAGATCAGCCTGAACCCTAGATCAACCTAAACCCTAGATCAACCTGCCCTAGATCAGCCTGCCTGATCCAGCCTGCGCCTAGATCAGCCTGCACCCAGCCTCACCTAGATCGCCTATCCTAGATCCTAGGCAGATCAGCCTGCCTAGATCAGCCTGCACAGATCAGCTGCCTGAAGTCTCACCTAGATCCCAGCCTTCACACCTGGATCGGCCTGCACAGTCACTGCAGTCAACTGCCACTAGATCCGCCTGCACAGATCAGCCTCACCTAGATCCACCCTGAACCCTGCCCCTAGATCAGCCTACACCTAGATCAGCCTGCCCCTAGATCAGCCTGCCCTAGATCAGCCTGAAGCCTGCTCCATCCTGTGTCAGCCTGCCCCAGATCAGCCTGCACCCTAGATGCCCTGTCAGCCTGCCTAGATCAGCCTGAGCCTAGATCAGCCTACTAGATCAGCCTGCAACCAGATCAGCCTGCCTAGATCAGCCTGCCTAGATCAGCCTGCCCCTAGATCAGCCTAAGCCTGATCAACCTGCCCCTAGATCAGCCTGCCCTAGATCAGCCTGCCCACAGATCAGCCTGCACTGGAGTCAGCCTGCCTAGATCGGCCTGCCCTAGATCAGCCTCAGCCTAGATCAGCCTGCGCCTGGATCAGCCTGCCCGCCGGTCAGCCTGCCTAGATCAGCCTGCCTAGATCAGCCTGAACCTAGGTCAGCCTGCCCTAGATCAGCCTGCCCCTAGATCAGCCTACCTAGATCAGCCTAGCCCCTAGATCAACCTACCCCTAGATCAACCTAAACCCTAGATCAACCTAACCCTAGATCAACTACACCCTAGATCAACCTACCCCCAGATCAACCTTACCCTCAGATCAACTCACCCCCAGATCAACCTAACCCCAGATCAACCTACCCCCAGATCAACCTAAACCCTAGATCAACCTACCCCTAGATCAACCTACCCCTAGATCAACCTACCCCCAGATCAACCTAAACCCTAGATCAACCTACCCCCAGATCAACCACCCCTAGATCAACCTACACCCTAGATCAACCTACCCCCTAGATCAACCTACACCCTAGATCAACCTACCCTCAGGATCAACCTAACCCAGATCAACCTACCCCTAGATCAACCAATCCCTAGATCAACCTACCCCTAGATCAACCTAACCCCAGATCAACCTACCCCAGATCAACTGCACCCTAGATCAACCTACACCCTAGATCAACCTACCCCTAGATCAACCTAAACCCTAGATCAACCTACCTAGATCAACCTACCTAGATCAACCTACCCCTAGATCAACCTAAACCCTAGATCAACCTACCCCTAGATCAACCTACACCTAGATCA